AAATTTAATAATAAAGTTTCGCTTTACCACTTTTATTTTTTTTCAACGCATTCATTCTTATAATTCATCTATCTATCAACTCCTTTACATAAATTTTTTTTTAATGAACGAACTTATTATCTGATCATCTTATGTTATATGATTAGTTACTTAAATATGTATATATACTTAAATATGTATACTTCTTCACCTTCTAAAATCTTCTTGACTGTCATCTATCTAAAATTTAATAATAAAGTTTCGCTTTACCACTTTTATTTTTTTTCAACGCATTCATTCTTATAATTCATCTATCTATCAACTCCTTTACATAATTTTTTTTTTAATGAACGAACTTATTATCTGATCATCTTATTTTATATGATTAGTTACTTAAATATGTATATAACAACCTGCGTTAGTAGTCGTATAAAACTGAATAAATTTAGCTTTGAGTTATAGACGATGTCCTATATTAAATTTTCAAAATTCAAAAACTTGAACTTAGTGAAAATTAACTTCTGTTAAAATATTAGTCATGGATAATTAAGAGCGAAACGATCAAAGTGAAATCAATCGAACTATATTAGCTAAAGATCGCTATTGATCTAAAAAATGAAAACACAAATCAGCTAGTTCTGTTATTCATGGACCATTTGGAATTTAATAAAGCTTTATGTCAAATGTCCATAAATATGTATTATCAGATCCCTCAAAATATTGTGTTGATTGATGACTACATGAACGATTCCGTTTTGGAAATGTAACAGATAGAAGATGGCGTGGCAGCACCCACAAATATATTGTTGCTATATGTTTTTAAATAAATCTTAAGAGAGGAGTGTCCAGGTGTATGTAATTGTTAGATTTTTGTAAAAAAAATTCTAACATATGATTTAAATTTATACAGGAGATTTATACAGGAGATCTAATACAAAATACTTGTGTAATTACTTAGAATAACCAATAAAAATTATGACTTTAGCCATTTAATATAAAAACGCATAATAACGCAAAATAACGCAAGGATGTAGTACTAATTTACTGAACTATTAACTAAATAGATAATACATTTAATTATTAGCTCAGAATTTGTATATTATATTGTTGATTGCATATACGTACATTTTATTTAATGTTCATAATTTTTGCATAGATACGGAAGAAAGCGTTATTAATGCTTAACAGAAAAATGCTTTTTGTATAAAATAAAGTTGAAACCCCCATATTCATTGACAATGAGATATGCTTCATTAATGAAATTATATATTTTATGGTAATATCATGTAATCACATCCACAATCACAACAAATTTCACGGTAAGCAGTTTTAACACAACATGAGATATTTCTTAGCCGAGGGTTGGGCATTTCTGTTCCAGCTAGGCGGTCATAAATCTCTTTCGTATTTACCGCCTTATTGTTACACTTACTACTAATACCCACCCAATCGTTTTGACATTTGCTTGTAATATTCAGGATTTCCGATTCTGTGCGAGCATACTGACGAAAAATAAACGCTTTAATGTTATTTGGTTCGGTACACGGTTTACAGTTGTTACAATTATCTATTGTTTGCAATTCAGGAGCGAAGCCCAAATTAACCCCGTAAATATAAACACAATTTCAACCTCCATCGGAAGTAAAATACAAAAACCGTTAAATTAAATTTAAAAACCTTTTGTGTATGCGTATATATATATATAAACATTAAATGGTTCAACATTTATTAGAGAAAATAAATAAAACTTCGAATTATCATATCGAATTATTATCGAATAGTGGACTAAAGCCGACTCCAAGGACACAACGAAAACTATAACCATATAATTATATAAAAAAACACATAAGGGACACTCTAAAATATAATGGATATCCTTAAATGTTATATGGCCGTTTGAAGTTGAACAACAAAAAAGGAACTCTGCAAAGTACTCTGTCATATCCCATCACCCATTGATGCAGTATTTCTCGATTTGCCACGCCTCTACTGAGCCTCTTCTTAGAAGAGCAAATTTCAGGTCTCTAGCAAATTTCAGGTCTCTAGTGCCCAAAATATAGCAGATTTTGAACATTCAGCATATCTTCAGGTCCTATTTGCCACTAGGGACATATAATTTTCTCATAAGTCTTTATAGAATCATAACATTAGCTCATGTGCAAAATTTTATTTTAATTTCGTTCTAGCTTTAAAACTCTAGGAGATAGTGTAATACGACTTTCCATGCCCTCAATAAGCGTAGATATATCTACCATAGCTTTTAATCTTGGATGGTCGACGCGAATCTACATTTTAAATTTCAGCCTGTTACATACATTTTTGAAAAACCCACCCTGATTTACCATTTTCAATGGGTTCAGGGTATAAAGATATATAGAATTAAAAAAATATATGGCTTTAATTAAAGCAACAACAAACAATAATGTTCTAGTTAAGTCTGCTCGACTACGATATTAGCAGTCTTCTGAACTTCTTTTATACACACATACATACATACATATTAGCTGTTAGCTACATAGTAACGACTGTGCTTGGTTTGTAGTGTTAACTTTCAAAACGTAGTAGTATTTTAAGTACGTACAAATTGTGGGCGAAGGGGGCTGTGGTATCCAAAATCTATAAATTACAAAATATTTGTATTCAGCAAATGTATATATTGACAGTAAAAAACGAAACCAATTTATTAGTATTGTCGATAAAAAAAAGGGATGATTTGTCGAAAAATATGATAAACTTGTACTGCGTATGGTATACACGAGTATACATGTGTTATTTCAAGTCTCTAACTCTTATATTTTCTGAGATCTCGGCGTTCATACGGATGGACTGGCGGACAATCATGTCGATATCGACTCAGCTCGTCGTTCTGAGCGAGAGAACATATCTTTCAATCCTTCTATTACCTATTACATATATTATCACAAAAATATTATGTCCTGATTTCCCATTTTTAATGGGTTCAAGGTATAAAAATATAAAACTATAAAAATTGTCGGCCCATTAATATTATGACATCGTACATCCCCTTGAGAATTAAAGCATTATCTAACATTTCAAACCATACTAAAATAACATACCAAATACATAGATCACCTTGTGTTCTGAGCATCCCCATGTAAGGCCCCAACTAGATTTTTATACCCTGAACCCATTGAAAATGGGAAATCAGGGTATAATGGTTTTGTCAAAAGTACATATGTAACAGGCAAAAGGAGGCGTGGCAGACCCCACAAAGTATATATATTCTTGATCAGGGCAACGAGCTGAGTCGATTTGGCCCTGTCCGTCTGTCGGTCCGTCCGTATGTATGAATACGTCGATCTCAGAAGATATATGAGCTAGAGACTTGAAATTTTTTTTCCTAGGTCCGTGTATATCACACGAATATCGAGTTTTTCTCTATATATCGATAACTACTCCCGATATTTTATTATCAAAAACCTTATCAAACGCTAGTTATTTAATTATGTCTCCTACACCTTTACAGCTAGAGCTTTTAAATATAGACTTATATGTATTTTATATAATTTCGATTTTTGTTAAAGTTTACCCCCCACTTCTATGTCCACCCCCTCACCCTCACCTTTGTAAAAATAAATA